CCGTGTGTTTAGCGTGTCCCGTGTGTTTAGCGTGTCCCGTGTGTTTAGCGTGTCCCGTGTGTTTAGCGTGTCCCGTGTGTTTAGCGTGTCCCGTGTGTTTAGCGTGTCCGTGTGTTTAGCGTGTCACGTGTGTTTATCGTGTCCGTGTGTTTAGCGTGTCCCGTGTGTTTAGCGTGTCAAGTGTGTTTAGCGTGTCACGTGTGTTTAGCGTGTCCCGTGTGTTTAGCGTGTCCCGTGTGTTTAGCGTGTCAAGTGTGTTTAGCGTGTCACGTGTGTTTAGCGTGTCCGTGTGTTTAGCGTGTCCGTGTGTTTAGCATGTCCCGTGTGTTTAGCGTGTCCCGTGTGTTTAGCGTGTCCCGTGTGTTTAGCGTGTCACGTGTGTTTAGCGTGTCACGTGTTTTTATCGTGTCCGTGTGTTTATCGTGTCACGTGTGTTTAGCGTGTCACGTGTGTTTATCGTGTCACCTGTGTTTATCGTGTCCCGTGTGTTTAGCGTGTCCCGTGTGTTTAGCGTGTCACGTGTGTTTATCGTGTCACCTGTGTTTAGCGTGTCACGTGTGTTTAGCGTGTCACGTGTGTTTAGCGTGTCACGTGTGTTTTGTGGGTGCAGCCATGTTGGATGCGGTGCAGAAGTGGAAAACGGAGAAGGACTCTTGTCTGTCTGGAGAGAAGCAGCTGGAGGTGGAAGAAGAGGAGAGCATCTACACCGTCCACTCTGAGGAGGTACTCAGACCCAGCTTCACCTCTTCTGCTCTGGGCTCAGGACTGGCCCGTGTCGGTCTCTGTGGTTCTGGATGATAGTTGTGTGTTTGCTTTGTGTGTCTGTGCAGCCTGATGATGGGGACAACAATGAGGAGCTGGAGGCAGAGGAGGGCGGAGTCTCCTTCATCGCACATGTTCCTGTTCCGTCTCAGAAAGAGGTGAAAGGCCAACAGAACCTGGAACTGATGTCCTGTGACAGCACACTCACACTTCTGATAACCCTTAATTTAACTGGACGTGGTTCTGCTCCGGTCCGGTCCGGTCTGTGCAGCAAATACTCAACCTTTATAATCAATGAGAGTGTTTCAGTGGCTCTGCAGGGCGGTGCTGAGCTGACAGTGATCCATCTAAATTAGATCCAATCCTGTCTGAGCTGGAGCTGCTCCAGAGTCAGGATCATGACCAACAGGAACAGGAACAGGAACATCTGGATTTTCAAAATAATTCACAGACTAATTTTGCTGAAACCCTAGCTATATTAATAAATATATGGTTATTTTTAATGCTGTCAAAGTGTATGGTTCTGTTTGAGAAGCAGATGTTAGCATGAAGCACAACAAACAGCTTCACCTGTCTGTCTGACCTGTCTGTCTCTGACCTGTCTGTCTGACCTGTCTGTCTCTGACCTGTCTGTCTCTGACCTGTCTGTCTGACCTGTCTGTCTCTGACCTGTCTGTCTCTGACCTGTCTGTCTGACCTGTCTGTCTCTGACCTGTCTGTCTGACCTGTCTCTGACCTGTCTGTCTGACCTGTCTGTCTCTCAGGTGGAGGAGGCTCTGGTAAGGAGGAAGAAGATGGAGTTGTTGCAGCGTTACGCCAGTGAGACTCTTCAAGCTCAGAGCCAAGAAGCCAGAACTTTGCTGGGACTCTGACCCACCTGTCCCTGACCCACCTGTCCCTGACCCACCTGTCCCTGACCCACCTGTCCCTGACCCACCTGTCCACCTGTTTCTTGTAAATATTGGTCATTTTGTAATTTTTCATAATAAATCTTTGTTCGGCTCAGTTTGGTGTTTTTGTATATTTGTTGGGTTTTCAGATTAAAACCTGGACAGAACTCAAAGAAACTTGTTGTTTGTTTGTTTGTTTGTTTGTTTGTTTG